CGCTGATTGACTGAAAGGCCTGTGTTGCTTGCAATTACAACCATAATTTATAATTTTTAGTGTTCTGCTCCTATTAGTTCTAAGCAGTCAGCACATTTTCGGGGCCTCACAAAGCCTCAGCCAATTATGGCAGTTGAGCTGATGCTCTGAGATCTGAAAACTATTCTTTTCTCTATAGTTGTTGTAGGACGAAGAATGGAAAACGGATAACAGTTTGGGCCAAAGAAATAGGCATTTCTGAAAGTCCTATTAAAAAGATGGTTAAATTTCGTTTACATGATTAAGAATTACAGCTTGAGAACAGTTCCCATATTAAAATTCTGGGGTAATCCTAACATAAAATCGATCCTTTCACCAGAGGATCCCAATTTCAATTTTAACTTAAAGAAATGCCAGTTCATTGTTCAAAACCAAGCCTGGTACAAAAATCATCAGTTAGTGCTTTCCTCTCCCATGATGAAGCAAAGATTAACAGCACAAATTCTGACACTCCAATTGTCTTCCAGAAAACCTAGGTAAAAATTAGGAGATTAAGGGCACAATAGAGCAGTAGTGCAAAGGCAGACCTGCTGTAATCACCATCACAAAGGCTGGGCCACCGGCAGAGCGCAGTGTTTACTCAAAGCCCTGTGCTATCAATTAGCCGGCTTAATTATCTCAGAGTCTGCCAGCACAAGAGGCCAATTTTTGGTGTCTCTGGCTCCTCTTTGTCTTTTATTCCTGCTGGTCACAAAGGGGCTTTGAGGGCCAGCCTTCCTTAACTCTCTGACTCTTGCTGGCTTCTCCTGGTAGCCAAAACAAGCATTCTGTGAATCACTCCAGCAACCACACTATCTTCTCCTTTCTTGACATGGCTGTGGCCTAGCGCAGAAACTCTATTTAATGCATGTACCAAAAGGCTTCAACAGGTGACTATAGTTCATGGTTTAGAAACAGAATTTCCACAAAGAAATGAGATGTAGTATGAAATGGTCTATAAATATCACAGGTAAACAAATCTGAAGAGGCAGGAAAAAAACTCCATCTGTTCCCATCATCTGGTGGTGTTCAGGAAATGTTGGCTGACTGAAGGATGAGAGGAAGAACAGCAATCAAAGAACATTTTCTCACTTCTTTCAGATAAGCAGCTTACACTGATGTAGCTAAGAATTTCCTAGGTAGGTCAAGGCAGGAAACCACCTGCACCTTTTATATAGAATAATTTGCTTTTGTAGTAAGTCCTACTAACAGAAATTTGTTGAGCAATTGAGGTTGGGGAGGAAATTATATTGGGAAAAACTGGATTAAGAATTGTTAAAAAAAAAAAAAAAAAAAACACTAAAAGTAAATCATTGATTTATTTAAAATCTAGTTGTATGTACATAGAAACAATTATATTTCATAATTATACATATATAACATGACACACATATCTATGTATCTACATTTACATGCTAGACTTTGGTCTACTTGGATCATCCTTAGGTGTGTCTAGGGCCGAACTTCTATTTTCCGTATGTAAAACTGCTCCTTATATTCCCTAATTTGAAGACTACCATCTACTACTCAAAATTTTAAAGTCAGAATCCTGACAGTCTTTCTAGACTTCTCCCTCCTTTTCACCTTCCACATCATCAAGCCCTGTGCTACCTCCCCTACATTTGTTCTAAACCTACAAAGACCAAACCGGTTGCCATCGAGTCGATTCCGACTCATAACGACCCTGTATTTTTCTACCTCCTCTTAAATGTATTTGTTCGTCTCTATTTCCACTGCCCCGACAGGCTCTCAACATTTCACATTTGGATCATGCAAGAGCCTCTGTACTATTCCTTCTGCCTCTAGGCTCATGCCACTCCAACAGGGATGGACTACCCAATGAGCAAGGTACTCATGGGCTTACTTGTACTTATTTACTAACCTGTAGTGCACAATTTTATGTGGGTTCCATCTCGGATGTGGTGAAAAACAGGTGAAATTGTGCACTACAGATTAGTAAGTAAACACAAGTAAGTCCGTGCATACCTTGCTTACTTATGCTTACTGTAAGTCTGTGCGTACCTTGCTTATGGTTAATCTGCCCCTGTAATCCCGTCATCTCTACACCTTTCAGGAGCAATCATTCTACAACAGATATTTGACGTTTTTACTCCCTCTTAAAAAACTTCAGTGGCCTTCCATAGCTCTCATCTATCACATCAAGCTCTTGCCTCCCTCTGAGCCTCCCAAGAGCTAACATTTATTGAGCTTATTTTAACACCTCATCTCCTTCCCCTCTCCCACAGTCACCCTATTGTACAGCTATATCAAACTGAACATGACACAACGTCTTGGTATATCCATATCTCTTGGTTTGGGTTGTCCCAAGAGCAGACCTTGAAACAAGGAAATGGGCACAAGTAGTTAATTTGTGAGGAAGTAGTGAAGAGAAACAGGGAAGAGAGAAAAGCCAATAAGGGATGTATTAATGAACAGGTTACCACTGAGGACCCTCTGATAGTCTGTATAGACTACACCTCAGAATTGTCCCACTGAGGGTTAGGGAAGCTGGGGTATTAAACATCAATTTATTGTTGGTGAGTCACTCTTGCAAGTGTTAACCCCCCTGAACTTCTGGCAAGCAGCTCCTTGTCCAGAGAATGTCCTCAGGCAGAGAAACACAGGAAGCCATTGGCAGGTGATCTCCAAGGTGGGCCAAAAGGATATGAGGAAAGCACCAGGAACATCTGCTACATCATACAGTACACATATTATGTTCTTTTCCTCAATCAAATTTTTCGTTCCACTTGTCTTTCTGGTTAATTTGTCTCATCTTTTAAGATCAGCCCATTGGAGCCTTCCCTGACCTCCTCTGGGAGAGCTTTACTTCTTCCTCTATGCATATTCTCTTCTGCTGCAGCTGCTATGTTGTAGCTATTTGTTTACAAGTGTGACTCCACATCAGACTCTGGGCTCCCCGAGGGCAGTATCACTAGTACCTAGCTTGGTGTCTGGCAGGTGCTCAGTGAATGTCTACTTAACAAGGGCATGGCTGGAGGCATTAAAGAGAGGAGGATCTTGTCTTCCGTATATGTAATAGAGAACTTCTTCAAAGAGATGAAATATATGCCCCCACATTTTGAATACTATAAAGTCAAATATGTAGGAAGGAGCACCAAGCTAGGAATCTTGGGTCCTAATTCAAGTCAGTCTGGCTCTTCCTATAAAATGAGGGGGTGTGAATGACCTTTAAGTTTCTTTCAAGTTCTCCAGATTTCAAGTCACTGAATCTGTGTATAAGTGAAAGATGAAGCCCACAAACTATACTACAACCACATATGGAAACGCTTATAAGTTTGTGATATTCATCTGGATTCAAGGAAAGAGCACAGGTGATGCACACTTGAGACGCTGCTGGCAGGTTTGTAATGCTGTGTATACAAAACAGCCAGTGCTGGAATGTCCTGGGTGAGAGGACACCTCCCAGGGAGGAGTTGGCGACTGCACAGAAGCTAGCTGGGTAGCAGGGTGGTTGCAAGCTGGCAGGTGCTGCTGCCCTGGATGGAGCCCTATTACTGCTGCCAGGCTCTGGATAGTATGGTACCAATGATTCTACTTAGGTCAAAACCAAAAACCAAACTCACTGCCATTGAGTTGATTCCAACTCATATCGACCCCATAGGCTTTCCAAAACAATCGCTACAGAAGCAGATTGCCACATCTTTCTCCCGCAGAGTCTCTGGCGGTTTCGAACTGCTGACTTTTTGGTTAGCAGTTGATCGCTTTAACCACTGCGCCACCAGGGCTCCCCACAAACAGACACTTCCTGAGTTTTCATCTAACCCCTGGAGAGTGGGCTCTGCCTGTATTTCTATATGGGGAAGAGACTAATTTGGAACACTGAAAACAGTCCATGCTTGGCTTCCCTGACACCTTGGATACTCTCAATCCTCCTAGAAATGAGACTGGGATTGGAGGGATTGGGTAGGAGTAAGGAAAACTAGGTGAGTTTAGAGGCTTTTGCATAACAGATTAAAAAATGTTGAGAATGTTCATTTTAGGAAACAAATTCCCTCTCTTGAAATGTTTTGAATACAGTCACTGGCATCCTGTGTGTACAGAACACGGATGGGTAGTGTTTCTTTAAGTGTCTAGATTCCACAACTTTCAAATAATTAGTTTTCTCCTTGACAAATCCCTAAAAAAATTTATTATTTGTATGCAGTACTGTTTAGAATTAATTTAATTTTAAGAAAAATATTTTACTGAACATCTTCAATATGCCTGAGGGATATATCATATTCCTTTCAGAAACACAGAGTCAGTATTGTAATGATTCTTTACTTGGTGGGGAGAGGAGGGAATGAAAACTTCTAAAGGGGGTCTTCCCTGCCCTTTTTAGAGAATTATTGTTTTTATGGGCAGTCCACAGGGAGGAGTGGGGGTCCAAAGGGCAAACTACACCAGCAGTAGACCCTGACACACTGGAGGTAACCATGCCCATGGGTGATGGTGATACGTGATTTCAGGGAGCTCTTGTTTTTGGACAGCTCCCCCTCCCGTTATTCAAGGAGGTACCTTGGAAGAAGGGCAAAAGGGGGAAAAATAAATCTAGGAGACAATGTAATTGAAAATACGTGAACACTGGTTGGGGGCACAGTGATGCTATGCAGTGTCATGCTGAGGGCCTGGCTTGATCCAGTTTGGGCTTTGTTGCTGACTTGCTGACTCAAGGAGAATCACTTGATTCCTCTGGACTTTAGTGGGAGAGGCACTAGATGGCCTCCAAGGCCTCTTTCAGCAATGATGGTCAAGTTTATGACACCAACAAGAAAAACAGACTTTGGCAGGAGCATCTGGCCAGGGAAAATGAGAAATATAAGACAGGTCTCAATATAAAAAGCTAATAAGAACAGGAAGAACAAAGAGGAAAGGGGCCTGAGATGACCACCTGCACCCCTATAAACTGACCCCAACACAGACACAATTCAAGAGATGTTTCAAAAGTTGAGTCTAGATTGAGACTGAGTAGGAGGCCTTACCTTCTGGTGACGGCAAAGCACAGCGTGCACACTGCATGTAAAAGTCCTGTGGCATGCTGCAGAAATGTGGCCATCTTGGGATTCTCATCCACTGGGCCTTGCACCGAGAGGAAGCAGCCACACAGCTTGTTGATCAGACCTATGTTCACCACGTAGCTAGATATGGGGAGAAATGCGTGTTACCAATCTGCATAGGGTGGCAACATTTTCACCTCTAATGATAAATTTTACCAAACACAGGCCTGGACCCCTCAAAGAAGCAAACACAACACAGGTTTGAGTAAAGCATCTCAAGCAACAATCTCCTTACATTTAGTTCTGAATACCAGCTAGTTCTGTGAAGTGATTCTTTTTTCTCTTCCCTCTTTTGGCTACTTTGATGCTATTTTTCAATAAAGAGGAATGAAAATGATTATCTGATTATTCTTCTCACTGCTCTAAAGCGTTTGACAATAGCTGAAACTATTTATAATGGCCTCTATACTCTTATCATAGTAATTTTTTTTTTCTTTTTTTATGGTATTTTTAAAACTTCTAGGGAGCCAAATTCAACAGAATGCAGGGATTCAGAAGATGACGCTACCCAGACATAGTCTTGTTACAGTTTAAACTTCTAATGCCAACTATGGGTTCACCATTAAAAACTCCATTACCATTAAGAGAATAACAAACAGTGAGAATGTAATTGCTGTTATGAAAAGTACCAGTTCTGAGGGTAGACAATGACATTTTAAGAAGTCACTTCCATCTTTTTAGTCCATTGGACACTTCTCTAGAGCTGTTTATTAAACTGGACTGACAGTAGCAGCTCTTTCATTAGTTCACAAAGCAGCCATCATTGAAAATAATATTTTAAGACAATAAATGACCTTGCAGATAAATCAGTCTTAGTGCAAAGATTTTATACTGACTCAGTGCTACTGCATTTACATACATGAAAAGGGAGGAACTGTGAATACAGAAATTTTGAAAATCAACAGATATTAACTAATCACCCTGATCATAATGACTGGTTCATTTTGGCTGCTTCTTCCAAGACAGATTTGTTCATTCTTCTGGCAGGCCATGGTATATTCAATATTCTTCACCAACACATAATTCAAAGACATCGATTCTTCTTTGGTCTTCCTTATTCATTGTCCAGGTTTCACATGCAAATGAGGCGACTGAAAACACCATGGCTTGGGTCAGGTGCACCTTAAGTCATCAAAGTGGTATCTTTGCTTTTTAACACTTTAAGGAGGTCTTCTTGCAGCAGATTTGCCAATGCTATACATCATTTGATTTCTTAACTGCTGTTTCCATGGGCATTGATTTATGAATCCAAGTAAAATGAACTACACAGAGTAGAAATTTTTTTTCTGATTATGCAAATAATATAAGCTCATTATTAAAATTTATACAGTATTGAAAAGTAGAAATATTGCCAACGATTATACCATCTAAAGACAACCACAGTTGAATGTTTCCTTTTATGTTTTTCTATTTCAATTTTTTCCTCACATGACTGATACTATACTGATTTTCACTCAACTGACTAGGCCATTTTGATGTCATTAAAATATCTTTGTAAGCATCATATTTTAAATATTAAAATAATTATTATTCGGCTAACATTACCGAACATTTTGATCAAAGATTCTATAGAGCTTCTATAGATCTATGCAGAACAGAATTTCAAATTCTCACGGGCTTTCTGGAGACAGGAGGCTGGATGAACTCCTGAAAGTACTGCCATGAAACAATTTTTAAACCTTAAACCAAAAATATCCCCTGAAGTCTTCTTAAAACCAAACAATACTTTAGCTTAACTAGTAAAAACTGTCTGCCATGAACATTAATGCTCTTTTAAGAACTATCTATATGGGATCAAACTGACAACAGCAACTCTAAAGATTAGACAGAAACCTTAAGGGGCAGTGAGTTTATGTTAATCAGGGAGGAAGAACTGAGAAAAGGAAGGTAAGAATGGTTGCATAACTTGAAGAATGTAATCAATGTTACTAAATTGTACATGTACAAACTGCTGAATTTGTGTACGCTTTGTGGTATATAATCTCAACAATGAAATAAATAAAATTTAGAGAAAGAATTATTTACTATTGAAATTTTTAACATACACTAAAAAGAGAATAGGATAGCAAATCCCCATGTACCCATCACCCAGACCACCAGCAACCCATGGCTAATCCCACCCCTCATCCACACCCATCTCACATACTGTTTAAGCAAATCCAAAGCATCATATAATTTCATTTGTAAATGTTTCAGTTTTTATCTCTCAAAACTAAGGACTTAAAAAAAAAAACCACAACACCATTGTCTCAATATTTAAAAAATAATGTTAATTCCTTATCATCAAATAACTAGTATTCAAATATCCAAATGTCTCATAAATGTTTTAAGTAGCTTAAGAAAATTAGGATGCAAATAAGAACTATACATTGTGACTGGCTGATATGTCTTTTTAAATCACTTTGAATCTGTAGGTTGCCCCTCCATATCTCTTTTTCTCCCTTGCAACTTATTTGCTGATGAAACCTGGTTGTTTATTCTATACAGTTCCCATAATCTGAATTTTGCTGATTACATCCCTGTGGTGTCATTTAACACATTTCTTTTAATATACTCGAACACATTTCCTGTAAAATGATCTAGATTCTAGAGGTCTGAATGAGTACAAAAATATCATTTTTAAAATGGCTACATAATACACTACCAGTGTAATATTTTTTGAACTCTTGGTTGTTTTTAATATCCACCATTGTAAACTATGCTGTGATGAACATTTTGTGTACAAATCATTGTCAGAATTTCAGATTACTTCCCAGAGGAGGAATTCATGAGTCAAAGCATATGCATACTTTCAGGGTTCTTGATACGTATAGCCACATTACACTTCAAAAATTCTGCATCAATTTATAGTCCCACTAGATGGATAGAAAACCCATTTCACTATGTGGAGATTGGTATTACTATCCCCACTGGTAGATGAACAAACACCTGCCCAAGCAGAAGAGCTGGAATGTCCTAAGGTCTTCTGACCCCTGATAAGAGTCCTTTCCACTAAATCCACTGCTTCTCTGAGGCATTTTTTTGTTCCTTACTGATGTCTGAATACTTTTCATTGTGATATATATGTATATATGTAGATATACACCTACTTCTCACTTATCGACTCTCTTGTTATCTGACACTTCCCATTCACGACTATACTAAAAATTCTACTATCTGACTATTTTGCACATTAACGACGTAAGTCTGGCAGTAACGAACACCAAGGTGCAAGGCAAAAATATACTGGCTGTGACGGTTATGTGTCAACTTGGCTGGGCCATGATTTTCAGTGGTTTGGCAGTTATGTAACGATGTAATCATCTTCCATTTAGTGATTTGATGTGGTCATCTCCCATTTTCACAAAATGCCAATTTTTGCATAATGACCAGGTATTCAGAACCTAGCCATGTTGATAAGTGAGGAGTGGGTATATACACATTTGATATTTCAACATTTTATTACATGTGCAAGTCAGTGACATCAATTAACTGAGGTTTGAATCATTTCAACAAGGATAGGCAATTATTTCCGAGACTATTCTTGAAAACTAATACTAACCACACAAAGCCTTAAAACCATCCAGTCTCAAGATAAAAATGGCTTAGATGAATCTCCTGTATTGGCCTTGAAAAATCCAGAAAGGAGGAAGTACTCCAAAATGAGTGAAGAGATAAAAAGCACAGAAAAATGAACCAAACCAAAACAACCACTGTTGAGCAGGCAGTCCTTTCTGAGTGTCATCTCCTTTGTTTACCTGGTGGCCATCTACACTGCCTACTAATGAGTCTGACTGATATTTCTGTAAATTGCCTGGGTCTTGAGTCACTGCATGGAAAATCTTTAGATAACTGCCTAAGAAGATGCTGAAACTAAATGGCTGTAAAGGGTCAGTGCAGGGAAATTCATTTTGCCTACTTGATAGTTTTGAGGGAAGAATACAGAATCTTCTAACGGATACTGGCATCAAGGACATTATATCTTTTGCAATGCAACTGTTAGGTTAAAATTACAACGTTGAGATTGTTAGCATATATTCAGGACAAAAAGCTTTATTGTACAGAACCTCTCACTCCAGTCTTCTTAGAACAGGAATCCTGGGAAACATGCTGCTGTACGTACACCAGTAAATGGGCCTCTTGGTTTGCTTTACTGCTTCTTATGCATGTGAAAGTTGGACAATGAATAAGGAAGACCAAAGAATTGATATCTCTGAATTCCAGTGTTGGCGAAGAATACTGAATATACCATGGACTGCCAGAAAAACGAACAAGTCTGTTTTGGAAGAAGTACAGCCAGAGTGCTCCTTGGAAGCAAGGATAGCAAGACTTTGTCTCATGTACTTTGGACGTGTTATCAGGAGGGACCAGTCCCTGGAGAAGGACATCATGCTTGGTAAGGTACAGGGTTAGCGAAAAAGAGGAAGGCCCTTAATGAGATGGACTGACACGGTGGCTACAACAATGGGCTCAAACAAAGCAATGATTGTGAGGATGGCACAGGACCAGGCAATGTCTCATTTTGTTGTACCCAGTGCTGCAATAAGTTAGAATCGACTCGACGGCAATGGGTAATAGGTAGCTTTCTGTTGCTGGAATTTACAAACTGGAAGGGATACACATGGGTGTATATAAAGAGTTAATGTCCACTCTTGTCCAGCCACCCACATTCACCCCAGCTTAAATACTGCTGTCCACTAAGGTTCTGAAGATTTCTACCTGCTTCTGCAGTCTGAAATTGATCTAACATGCAATCAGGATGCACTGATAATTACTGGTGATTGTAATGCAAAAGCTGGAAACAAAAAGAAGGATTGGTAGTTGGGAAGTACAGCCTTGGTGATAGAAACGATGCTGGAGATTGCACGATTCAATTTTGCAAGACCAATGACTTCTTCATTGCAAATATCTTTTTCTACCAACATAAACGGCAACTATACAATGGACCTCACCAGATGGAATACACAAGAATCAAATCGATTACATCTGTGGAAAGACGATGGAAAAGGTCAATATCATCATTCACAACAAGGCCAGGGGCTCACTGCAGAACAGACCATCAATTACTCTTATGCAAGTTCAAGTTGAAACTGAAGAAAATC